TCCGCTCGGACTGTCGTCGCTGATTGTCGACGGAGAAGAGGTCCCGGTGAGACGCCACATGAACTACCTGGGTCTCACCATCGACAGCCAATGGACTTTCGAGCCCCATTTCGAGCTCCTGGTTCCGAGGGTGACGGCCGCGGCAAACGCTCTGTGCGGCCTCCTGCCGAACATCGGCGGAGCAGGAGTGGGAGTTCGTCGACTCTACGAGGGGGTGATCCGGTCCCGAGTACTGTACGGGGCCCCGGTGTGGGCGGAAGACCTGGCGGCTAGTCGGCGCAGCCTGATCGCGCTGAGGAGACTGCATAGGACGACGGGCATTCGCATCGCCAGGGGGTATAGGACGACGTCGTACGCGTCGGCGACCGTGCTGGCGGCGTCGCCCCCGTTCGAGCTGCAGGCCCTGGCGCTCCGATGGGTGTACGGTACACCTGAGGGGTTCGAGCTCGGACGGGCCGCTATCCCCGAACATCCGGGAGGAGGCCCAGCCGGAGATCTGGGAGCGATGGCGCTCTCGACTGCTGGAAGAGGACGCCGCGCGGCCGCACCGAGCCGTTCGCGCCGTGCTTCCCAACTGGGACGCTTGGAGAGAGCGAGGCGGGGTACCGCTGACATTCCGGATGACGCAATTGCTCACCGGGCACGGAGTGTTCGGCGAGTACCTGCTGAGGATTCGCAGAGAGGTGACGTCACCTGTCACCATTGCGAGGATGAGGAGGCACGGCGCAATATACGTTGGAGTTTTGCCCGGCGTGGGCGGAACAGCGACGCGTCCTGCAGCTCGAGATCGGCGAGAGGTTGGCCCCGGAAGCGTTGGTGGAGGCCATGCTCAGAGGGCGTCGGGAGTTCGCCGCCGTTCGCACTTTCTGTGAGCAGGTGATGCTTGCGAAGGAGCGGGCGGAAAGAAACAGGTTGAGAACGCGGCATCCTTCGAGGACGACGCAACAACAACATCGGAGGAACACCACGCGCCAGAGAGGCGCGACGCCGCCACGGCCACCGTAGGAGCGTGATGAACCAGGAAGAGGCGTTAGGGGGTGTGGTTCCCCCCCCCCTAACGGCCCAAGGAAGCCTCCCTTCAATAACGACAGGGAGATAGACGCCCGGGGGTAACCGGTAGTAATTCGGGAGAGATCCCGGGTACATCTCGACTCAGGCGTCAGGACAGACCACCGTGGAGTTTTAGTCGATAAGAGTCCGACACTACCCGCCAGCTGTCCATGAGGATTTCTTCACGTTAAAAAAAAAAAAAAAAGTTGACAGTCGAGTGGTGAGGAGTCCAGTAGTGAGGAGTGGAGAGTTGTTACGAGTTGTAAACTATTACAATAGTTGTGAGTTGTGAATTAACTATTTAGTTGTCTTAGTTATGGCACATTATTGTATTTAGTTCACGTTAAATAACCATCGTTTCCTGTTTAATCCATTGTAAATAGATCTATCGATCAATAAACTTATCATATAGTTTAAAAATCATTGGAAACCCTAATTTCTAATATTTCTAAATAAATAAAAAAAATCTTATAATATTTAATCAGCCGTACAACTGTCGTTGTATAAGTTAGAATATTCCTGAATATCTGATATTCGAATATGTGGCGCGTGGTTTGAATAATTTATCTTCCTCCTGTAACAGGTTAATGCTCCTTTATCCCTGTGATCCTGCAAAGAATCCAAAGCAGATGTTCGTCATCAATCAAGATGTATGTAATGATTAATCCATCACGTATATCATCGCACTGCGAGAGCCGTCACGAACATCGTAAAAGCTTCTAGAATTCTAGAACACGACAAACAGCAATAAAGATCCGAGCTATATTCTTTTGTACAGCTTCCACAGTCTGATTCTCAAACCTTTGACGATATCGAGGAAAGTTTACGAGACCTGAATGATCTTGAAAATAGTCCAATAACACGAAATGGAATTACATCGTAATCATGGCAAATTCGACATTTTAAAAAGTGTTACAGTCATTCGTGCTTTATTTTTATGATCGCTCTTTGATTTCCTAAAATTCTCTACGTAGCTTTTTTTATATCTAGTACTGCGTTTCGTATAACCTTTCCAAAACTTATTTTCCCTAACCCCAACCTAACGCCAACCTAACCTCAAAACTTACTTTCTCTTTTTCAGCAAACTTCTCACCTTTTGTCAATCAGATATAAATTTGTGAACTAAGTTAATCTATTTTTCCTATCTTTATCCTCCAATTATTATTTAAACCCACGTAGCTCGTGAAAATCCAAAGATTCCTTCAGTCTTTTGCATTCTCCTTTAAACAAACTCATTTCCTCCTCGATAAAACTTCTCTCTTAAATGTAACTTTATAACCTACGTTAACTGTTTCACTATTTTCATTCTATCCAAAGATATTTCATTAAATCTAATCCAAAAATTCCATTAATCCGCGTTTAGAATATTTTGAATCGAGTGTCTGTTACGGACGTGTAATCGCAATTTATCTGAAAAAGAAAAAGGAAAAACGTTTAATCACAGTGAGAGTTTTCTCTTTTCCCGGTGCAATTAATTGCGTTTTTCGAAACTTGGAGCTTTCGAATTCGAAAAGGCAGGCCAGCAGGCTCTTGCAAACTCGTTTCATCGTCCGGCTCGGCTTTGTGTCATAATTTTCTGAAAACAACATTATGGCGCGTCGTGACATAGCATAATTTGTAACATCGCAAGGAGAATTTCATTATTAACGTGACTTCCGACTTGTCGGTCATGCAAGATACGAAAAGTCGGCGCAAACGAGCCGTTTACTCGCCACGAAGTTTATTGCCGGACGTTTTCACTGTTCCCCACAGGAAACTTCCTCTTCCGCTGTGCAAACGGCGCGCGAAACAGGTTACTTCTCCGAAAGTGACGATACAAAATAGGTCAAGGAAACTTTCAATGCAGCTTATTCCTGCCAACGTTCTCTTTCAAATAAACGACCGTCGTTAAAGTAATCTGAGTTTTTTGGTGATCGCGATAAAAATGTTGGAATACAACGATATCAATCGCATGCAGATAAGGCGTCTGATCATACGGATTCTTCCGCTCGTTGCCCAGCGCCATCCCCACTAGCGTGCGTTCGTGAGAGGCACCACGGCAGTTAGCACGTGCATGCTTTTTCAAAAAACGCCGGAAGAAACGTGAGGATATGGATGGAACATTCTAGATGGGCACGTACGTCGAGAAGCTACTAGAAGGTTCTGTGCCACACGTGACGCCACACAGACACCCACACAGGTCACACTCATTACTGGCATCAAGAGTGGGGCTCTAAACCTTTTCAAGGGCTATGGCTCACTAAGCCAGTCAGTCTGTGAATAACTAGCCAACTGTCTACATTCCAGAACGCACATTTATAACTCTTGAAATAATTGTTTAATAAATATCACATTGTATTATTTCAACACAAACATTGTGTCTTCCACAGAATATTAATCCTAATTCCAAGATTAAATTCTAACAAAAAAAAAAAAATGACAAATGATAAATATAAATATAAACAGTCTTAACACTCCAACACTATTGTTTTTCAAAGGACGAAAATCTGAGATTTCAACACTGTGCATCAGAGTTTCATTTCCTGCAATACTAAAAACTCGACATACTCGACGAGAAATCGTGAAATTTGATATACAGTTGCATTAATATTGAGAAGACACAGTTACATTAACATCTTTGTATTTGTCGTTGTGTACAAGAGGAGATGGTTGAAATATTAGGTTGCAAGAGGTTAGGAAACATTTATTGCAGTTTGAAAATACGCAAAGAATTTCTTCCTAACGTCCAATTACACAATAAATTTTGAAGAGAAAGCAATTTAAACGGAAGATAGGAAGTTGCATGTTTGCTGGAAGACTCACAGCGAATACTTATTGAAAATACTTCTCATTCGCTATACATTCACTATGAATTCACTCATACATTCATGAGATTTATTTGAAGACAAAAACAAAGCGCAACTTTTCCACACATTGGTAGGGAATCGCGTTAGGAATTCTTTTCGTTAGCATTACGTTCTTCCAAAGGGAATAGTTGAAAAGCCGCGGGAACTTTCAGTGACTAGTGTCGAAACAGGAGTTGCAGAAAACATTGCGAGCGCAACTGAGCAAAATTCCTGAAACTTTTTGACAAACGATCGGAAATAAATCAACGTAACGTTGGTGTTTCTCTGTGGCGAACAACCGAGTCGATTTCTCAGAATAAAATTTACGTTGCAGCTAGCGGAAAGCCGGTACGACGAATCAAAGAGGAAGTATAGGTTAGGTTGGCTTGGCTTGGCGAGAGGAAACAGGTCGCAAGTTTGATCGCGTCGCGTTCGCTTAGAGCTTAATTAAAATCAAGATCGTGTTGCCAGTGAAAGGAGTGCGGATCCTTTCGGAATACTTTGCCACGAGTTTCAAACTTCTTGCAATCCCGTCGCAGGAAAATGAAACGATGCAAAGTTTTATATCGGGCGCACGCGTAAACTTACTTAACCTTCGCGACAAACAACTGGAAAGATTGGCCGCCTGTGAAAGGAATTTAAAACGTATTCCAGGTTTTCTTTGCTGAGCGATACTTCCTATTTCTTTTTTCCTTTAACTTTTCTACTTCCACCTTTTTCTTTGTCATTTCTTATAGTCTTTGGAATTCTAATTGGAAATAATTCATTTATTATAGTATTTGGAATTCTGGTTCGAAATAATTCAGCCAGAAAGCATATCGTAAGTTATTCTTCATAAAAACGCCAATTTCGTCCATCACAGAGCATAATTATACATCTTCCTTTTTAAATGTCACGAGCTTCAGATTGAAGAATTTTAACTTTGAATTGGTATCACTGGCTAATTTTCAACGAGCTATTTCATTTTAAAGCACTTCATAATATACTACTTAAGGATTAAATGAATATTTAGCGTCTAAAATTAAATGACAGGTTCACGTTGATAACACAGTTTCCATTTGTTTGGACGCATATAACTTGCCAATCTGAAGAAGACTTCATAAGGACAAATATAGAATTTTGAATGGGTATCTCAAATGAACTAAGCACGTTCACATCGATAAAACAGTTGCAAATCGTTCGAACGTAGGTAATTTGTCTAATCTGAACAGCGCTCTGTCTCATTCGATATTAACACGAATGCTATGGGGGTCACCGGTGACCGGCGCACCAAGATTAGTAGAAATACATTATTTGAACAAATTCAATAATTATAAATTTGTTATTATTACCATCGTTACTACAATGGCATGACGAAATTAATGCAGTATAAAACATATAAAAATAGTTTTATTTATACATGAAATATACGTCTATTATGTGCGCCCTCCATCAGTGGCCGTCGAACATGGGAAAAACCAGCTTGTTCCGTGTTTTATCTTAACGAACAGTAACCCTATGGTACGTTTCAACTTGAAACATGTTTAATGGAAATTAAGGACGTTGACAGTAAAGTAAAAAATGCTAAATCTTGTGACGGTTCTTTAGGATTATTGCTGGTCCGAATAAGTATGAACGAGGGATACATTATGGTTTATGGTACATCCTGGGACCTAACAACATAGAACAATTATTTAGCAACGCGAAGAAACAATATGAGATAATTGACAATCGCAAAAAGTAAGTGAATCGAACGAAATTGTACTACAGCGCCGTGGGGGTCACCGGTGACCTCAGTGAGATAAATTCATTAATGATGATTATACACCGTAGCATATCTGTTGTAGGTAATATTTCAACATTACATGTATCGCATAATAACGAAATTCATCGTGGCGCCACGGCCAAACCTTGTAAAACTGGCATGTCATTCAACGTCTTAACACTTTACCGATCGATAGCCGATTAATCGGTTTTTTGTCACCAACGATTACCGACCGATAGCCTATTAATCGGCTTTTTGTCGCCGACAATCTTTTTCATTATTTGAGCAGTAATTTGTTATTTAATACTAAGGTACCTTACTCAGTCGCGTCAGTTGCATTACTTTGTAAGCTCCCACCGTTTTATACCAATTTGAAAAACGTACCGTTCGCAATGAACAAAAAGAATGGTATCGGAGACTGTAAACCGAAACAGAGCCAGCGCCAGGGGAGAATCTGCGCCTGAGATGCCGGTCGGATGTGCGTATGCTGTTGAATCGTTAACGGTCGGTAAAGTGTTAAGAATACGTACTGGGTTGGCAACTAAGTCATAAGGTAGTATTGACAAAATCCGCAATCGCGTAGTTGCCAACCTTACCTTAGTTTGTCTCGGTTTGAACAAAACGCGTGCGAACTAATGTGAATTTATTTGAAGAGTTTGTAAATTACCGTTGAAAAGGGAATTCTCTCTTCACCAAGTATCGTTCTGGCGTACTCTATCGTACGGATGTTGGCAAATTGAAATCGATCGATCGCGCGGGAACCACCCTTTCCTTCGTTTTATCCGGCATTCCTTTTTGCAGCGTGGCCTGATTCAATTTCAAGAACAGACGCAATCACTTAGAACAGAGGAAAAACCCGGCGCAAAGAAGGAAAGCAAGAAGCGGAAAGTATTTTTTCGGATGAGCAAGGAGAATGCTGGTTGGACGCTTCCGGCGTCGCCCATTAACGCCCGATTAGAAACATATCTTTCGTAAAATTACCGTTTCCAGCTTTGACTCGAGACCACCGCCCCGCATGCTCGTACTTTGCCCAACTGTGGGGCGGTTCTGACCCATTCTTTCTCGCTTTTCGTTTCTTTCCAACGTCCGTTTGAACACACGAGACTTGATAAGAATCTTAGGGCGATGAAAGTTTGAAATAAATTTATTTGCACAATAAGTGAAAACGCGGAAAATTTGTATATTTTAGTAGCATAAGGTTTTAAATCGTACAACTTCATGGAACTTGGATCAGGATATTGATTAGATGGTAATTTGATTACCATTAGATGGTAATGACAAAATCCGCAATCACTTAGTTGCCAATCCAATAAATCTTGAGACAAAATCTCGGTCTCTGTCATTGTGAAATCGTATCGATATAATGTCTATGAAAAATAACCTACTGTTACCGATTAGACGTCTGAAGGCTCACGACACTCGTATCTGAAGATGTTTCATAAATTGTAGAACCTTGTTTTCGCAACAGCACAGGTAGAAAGATGTATCCGTAAATCGGATACTTTGCGAACAGACGTTCTATTCAATTTCACGATATCAATTTTCTGCGTCTTAAAGATTAAGTTTAAACGCAAAACGTTTATTCGTGAAGAAATAATTGATAACCTAATCTTCTTCTTAATCTGTCTTAATATTTTGTAAGCGTCGATTATGTTGCCATAATTTATCACTATATGAAATTCCTCATCTAAGAAAGAGCGGATGTTATCGAATTAATCTTTAGAAACTCGATGAATCTTCGATGGCGGGGAACGTGGCGAGATAACGAAAGACACGATCGATTTACTGTGCGTATCGTCGATACATGTAGGTACATGTGATAAGCAGAACAGGAATCTAGGGATTTTCGGGATTAGCCGTAACGCTGACAGAGGCGAAACTTACGCGCACTAACTCGACCCGGTTCAGATCGAACGGTGTCGATCGGAATTGCGGCGCGTTAGGTTTGACATGAGGTAAGCCGTGGATTCGCCTTGTGATTATGAATTTACCGATATCGGTTTATCCAACCTCGCAGGAATTTCAAACTAATTTGTCGTTCGTGTAGGGAATTCAAAGCTGTCTCTTAGGTCTTTCTCGTTTCATGATAACTCGCTAAATGTATTTTGACAAGTACTTAAATAGGGAAATTAATTAACATTGATTAGTCTGTGAAATGAATTTATTCTTCACAAATGGCCGTAAAAAGCTGAAAAAAATTGAAAACGTATCATCACGATAGATACAATCGAAAAACATACGTAATCGACATAATTAGACTCGAGCACTGCGATCAATAATATGCTACAACCGAGAACACGTGTGAAATCGAGGCGATATTAATCTATTGCGACTAATACTAATCAAACAAACGTCATCGTCTTCTTTCAAATTCTACACAACGTACAAGTTTTTCAAATTACGAACTATCCACTTGATATTTTCATCGCAATTCCATCAGCCTTCGCTATGCAGAGAAAACGACTAGCTTCGTTAATAATACGTTACGACCGAAAAAGCGTGAGAGATCAAGGCGACCCTAATCTATTACATCACGACCAATCGGATGAACGTTCATCTTCTCTCAAGCTCCATGCGGTACAAGCTTTCCAAGCTACAAAATCATTTACTAAAGTAATCTATACTAATATTCTCGTCAGAAAACCATTCTTTACTACGTAGAAATAGCAGGGCATCGCTCATCGAGCGGCCAATCGGATGCTCGACGACGCAATTAGACGTGACCACTTCCAGCGATATTACAGTTGAAAATTATGGATCTTAGTCGCCGAAATAAATGTATAGCAACACTCACATTACACGAGGAAATGATATTAAAATAATTTCATATTTATTTAATATGTGATTAACAAGATATTCGTGGATACACATTGCACGCGTCTCAGCACTCTCTTGTCTCACCATCTTTCTACCACTATGCGTACGGAACGGTTGCGTTGAGATAGAGGAACGATTGGATGAATTTGTAACAGAAAAATATATTGAAATAAGCATAAATACACGTATAGTGTATAAGGTCAAATTCAAATAAATTGTTATCACTAGTTATTAATTTAATGTGTGATATTGTTGAGGTTAAGTGATAGAGAAACGATTGGATGAATTTGTAATAGAAAAATATATTGAAGTAAGTATAAGTACAGGTATAGTGTATAAGGTCAAATTTAAATAAATTGTTATCGTTATTTATTAATTTAATGTGTGATATTGTCGAGGTTAAGTGATAGAGAAACGATTGGATGAATTTGTAATAGAAAAATATATTGAAGTAAGTATAAGTACAGGTATAGTGTATAAGGTCAAATTTAAATAAATTGTTATCGTTATTTATTAATTTAATGTGTGATATTGTCGAGGTTAAGTGATAGAGAAACGATTGGATGAATTTGTAATAGAAAAATATATTGAAGTAAGTATAAGTACAGGTATAGTGTATAAGGTCAAATTTAAATAAATTGTTATCGTTATTTATTAATTTAATGTGTGATATTGTCGAGGTTAAGTGATAGAGAAACGATTGGATGAATTTGTAATAGAAAAATATATTGAAGTAAGTATAAGTACAGGTATAGTGTATAAGGTCAAATTTAAATAAATTGTTATCGTTATTTATTAATTTAATGTGTGATATTGTCGAGGTTAAGTGATAGAGAAACGATTGGATGAATTTGTAATAGAAAAATATATTGAAATAAGTATAAGTACAAGTATAGTGTATGAGATCAAATTAAGTAAATTGTTATCATTATTTATTAATTTAATGTGTAATATTGTTGAGGTTAAGTAATAGAGAAACGACTGGATAAATTTGTAACAGAAAAATATATTGAAATAAGTATAAGTACAGGTATAGTGTATGAAATCAAATTATGTAAATTGTTATCATTATTTATTAATTTAATACATGATATTGTTCAGGTTGACTGATAGAGGAACGAGTGGATGAATTTGTAACAGAAAAGTATATTGAAATAAGTATAAGTACAGGTATAGTGTATGAGATCAAATCAAGTAAATTGTTATCATTATTTATTAATTTAATGTGTGATATTGTTGAGGTTAAGTGATAGAGAAACGATTGGATGAATTTGTAATAGAAAAATATATTTAAGTAAGTATAAGTACAGGTATAGTGTATGAGGTCAAAATCAAATAAATTGTTATCACTAGTTATTAATTTAATGTGTGATATTATTGAGGTTAAGTAATAGAGGAACGAGTGGATGAAGTGGAACAGAAAAGTATATTGAAATAAGTATAGGCATAAGTATAAGTACAGATATAGTGTATGAGGTCAAAATCAAATAAATTGTTATCATTATTTATTAATTTAATATATCATATTGTTGAAGTTGACTGATTGAAGAACGAGTGGATGAATTTGTAATAGAAAAATATATCGAAACAAGTATAGGTATAAGTATAGTGTACGCTGATGAAGATCTGCACTCTTATAGCGTTATAATACAATAAAATTGTAACCCACATTTTGTAACCCAAAACAACATTTATATTCAAGGGCACAATAATATGCACCTCTTCTTATTTCGAATTTTTTCACTAAATTCTAATTTCTTCTCAGCGGCGGACTTCAGGTCATGGATATACAAAAACAAAGACGTAGAGTTTTCCTTAAATTAATTACTTCAATAAGTTGCATTCTTCTGTTCTACGAGACACTGCGCACATACTTCACACACAGTTATACTCATATATGTGTGTCACTAATACGCGGCTAATCCAGCGTAGCACACAAAATTAGACATATCTGAATAATTGCAGCCAAAAGTACAGGCGAGATCGAGATAATCCATTACGACCCAGCACACTTCCCTTGCTTCCAATACTGCTACAAGCTTCCCAAACTAGGAAACCACCGAAACCAATAACCAAACGCACTTTTCCATCAAGGCTGGCCACGCGTCTGTCCACCAATCACATCGAACCCGCCCATTCAACTAGGTTTCCAGGGCAAACGTAATACCAGCCCGGTATAATGAGAGTGGCCGTAATTTCGGAGGGTAAGCCGGCTTTCCATTTGCCAGCAACCCACTCTCTGCCCTTTCTTCGTTCCGCTTCTTCGGTCACAGAGGATCTCGCTGTCCATTGTAATTGGGCGCGAAGGAAAAGGCACAAATGGTTGATCGAACCAGGACTATCAAAATGGCTGTAATCCAATTTCGATCACGGCGAACAAGGGACTTTCGAGCTAAGATCCGCGGAGCAGGTTCTTCTCCGCGAGTAAATAGGTTAAGCAGCCCTGTCGTCTAGAAAAGGAAAGAAACGACGTCGTACACACGAAACGATGGATCATGTCAATCGTGACACGTACGGGACACGGGGTTTATATGCGGGAACACGACCGGTCTCGGCCCACTTTACATTGGAAACGCGCCACCGAGCTACTCTTCCTTTATCAATATCTTACTCTGCTCAGCCTGCAGGAACCACGTTCCCTCGATTTACGTCTCGCGCGATTTTCTTTCGCTGGAGAGGCGCACTTCCATGGCGAGGATACGTTGACACGAAGACACAGAAAGCTGAGATGACGCGCATGGAGAGTGTTTTAGGACGCGGAAATGAGATATCGAACAATATTCTTTTTTTATTATTTAATTTTTACTTTACAATTTGTCCAGCTGGACATTTGGTAAATTTTTCTAGCTTTATTGCTAAATAAAAAAAGTGGATGACTAACCCCAGCGGGATACCATCTTCGAATTTGACTATTTTATTTCTTTAGTGAGGTTAGTGGGATATTTACTTTTTAGTCTTCTTTCTATCAGAGTTTTGCTCGCTTCAGCAGCCAGCTGGTTTGGATGTGTTGCCGTTCTTTCCTTGTATTTTTCTGCTTACCTACCGATTTCTTCTTTCACCGTTGGTATTTTCAAGTCTGTACGTATATCCTCGTTTCTGACATACCAGAGGGCGTTCACTGTTGTTCTCAGTACATTCGATTGTAGCGACTCTAGTTTATTTATGTGGCTCATTGCTGCTGTCCCCCATAGTGGCATTCCGTACGTCCAAATTGGTTTTATTATCGTTTTGTATATTTTTAGTTTATTTTCTATGCTGAGTTTAGAACTTCGACTAGTTAACCAGTACATTTGTCTTCTTTTTATCCGTATTTTGTCTATAATTGATTTAGTATGTTGCTTCCATGTAAGTTGTATGTCTAAGAGGTGTGCTAGATATTGAACTTGCCTTGTTTGTGTTATGTGCGTACCATTCAATTGGATATATGGTGGTTTCCATTTTCTTAGTGTAAATGTAATATGGTTGCATTTACTGGGGTTTGCTTTTATTTGTTTATCTCGTAGCCATTTTTCTATTTTTCTGATGTGCTCTTGTGGTAATGTGACTGCTGTTTCTTGATTAGTGTGCCTGACTAGTCGTGTCGTCTGCGAATGCTAGTATTTTGCTGTTGGTTGGCCGTGTATGAGTGAACAACGTGCGCTCTTGATGGGAGGGATATAGTTAGCTGATAAAATTCGAACGGAGATGGGTTTTGATCGTCGAAATGAAAGTTCGAGAAAATTTAAGGGAAAATGAGACACTTGAGCTTCTAGAGGGATTAAAAGTGGAATTTATAACAAACCTAGAAGACGCGACTGGAATCTTGGCACAGACGCAATCGTAACTCTACGAAGTAATTAGCCGAAACAAAAGAGAAAATGTTGGAAGTGGAATAAACTTTCAAAGTTTGTTGCCCAAAGTCTACTTTGTCTTTAATATTTCGCAAGCTCGTTATTTAAAGACGCATAAAAACTGCTTATTATTTCCACGAATTTTTATTCGAGATGATAAACGTTATTGAAAATTTACCGATTGAACACGCGACAAATTTGTCTCGTTTAAAGCTTTTGGAAATTGTTCGATTCGATTTGAAAGCGGGTAGCTCGATAATCGTAGGAAGATTAATCGCCGATCGATCTTTCTCGGTGGATAAGTTTGTCCGGATGATTAACAGGACTGTTTGAACAGTCGATAAACTTAGCTCGATAAAACCAGTTAGATGTACACGCGGCCATCTTTGCCAGCAGCGCTAAATGAAGCGATACCATTTAACGGCGTGTTGCCGCAGCAACGGGACAATTTCGGGCTAAAATGATGGCCCAATGTGGCCGTTCTAAATGCCTGCTACAATTTCTCCCAATATCGTACCGCTTGCAGCGCTTGTAATGCGTTCTGCAGGTTTCACCAAGGAATGCCATCGAGAAATCAAACGAAATAAATAAACGAATAGGAACCTCGAACAACGATCTAAAGCGCATTTAGCACAATTTGGGCAAAAGTGGTTTAGTTGCACTGACCTATAAGCTTCAAACACATTCCAGCTTTCGTGTTTCACGTTATATCGTCTTCCAACGAGATATCTGCAACCTGTAAAACGATCGACGCAGACTGTGAAACTTTGGGCAGAATGTGCTGTGAACCCTTCGAGATTTCCATACAAATGTCCTTGGAACTATGGTCGAGATGAATTATTTGTTAAAATTATATCGCGTAGCCAACCTTCTGTGAATAATCGCTTTTAGTCTTATAATTTTATAACAGGGTTTTATGAGAGAACCATTTAAATTTAGAAAATCGACTTGTTCGTTGTTCGTTGATAATGATAATTAATCATCGAAGAAAGACAAAGAGATAAATTATTTGTTTAATTGAACACTCAAAGAAGACGCGTATGTGAAAAATCTGGAATAATAGTCGATAGTCGAAAATGTTTTTTTTAGACCGTGTGTTATTGTTAGTTTATGAAACAGTCTCATAATTTAATCGTTCTATCTGTATGGAAATACATTCATTAGCTTAGTTAACTATAGTATGCTACACATACTGCAACGCCACGTATACTGCGACGTATGGTAACAATGAAAATGAGTAAAAATAGAATTCGGATGGTTGAATAATATAATTAACATAATAATTACTTTAAACAAGTTCTGTTTCGTTAGTCAGACTGAAATAACCTCGTTTTCTTTTTCATCACGCAAGATTGCTAGAGAGTATAATAAACAGCAAAGAGCTTTCAACTTTTTCGAATAGCTAGAATAAAAATATACGCGGAATGCGGTATTTCCACTATGGCGTTTCAAGTTTGAAGCGAAATCATGTTGTCGTTTCAAAACTCGCCAATTCTCAAAACATTCGACTGAATAATTCCATCTCACAAAAATGCGAATCTTTCGCAAGAAGAATATCACAACAACTACAATTTCAACTATTCCTTCTCGCTGTTCCTGTAAAAAATCAGAAACACGATAAAAGAGAAATGTTGTCGAAGAATTCTCATAACTTGAAATTCAATTAACTCCTTCCGTAAACTAACAAAAAAGGAAAAAGAGAGGAACGCGATAGAAGAATTTTCATAACTTCAAGCCCAGTTAACCGATGCCACGAAATAATAAGAAAAGAACGGAAAGAATTAGCATAGAAGAATATTCGTATCTGTTACGCCACGAGGCTTACCACAGGTCATACTTCTAACCGTCGCTCGCGGTCCTACAGTGTCGCAGGCAGGTCGTCTTATCTGCCCGACGGAACATATACAATGTATCGACGAACGCATACTTGTCGCCAAGCAGCGAGTTCGAGAAACGTCGATTTTTGTCCGTTACGTTTACCACACAAGAAGGCGGCATACGTGATCATAGACGCGAACGGTGGCGTGTCCCGAGCATAGTGGGGGTCGTCTTCCAGAGAAGACAAAGAAATGATCGAAAGGCAATCAGTCCCTTCTGACGAGTCGAACGATATACATCGAGAGGTGTGACGAGTAAAATCAAAATCGCATAGTCTAACGAATTCGTTGAGAGATATTGTAAAGTCGAGTCAACTTTCTGTAATATATTCATCATATTATTGTCAAATATATTATTTTATGTTAACCTGTTAATACAGTGTTAAAGTCATTGAACCACCTCTGTTATCTTAAGGGGGAACGACTATTTCGCGGCGTGGGTTAACAGAATCGTAGCGAGAATTTACGCCTCTCGCTGACGCGTTTTCCTAGCGATCGCGTCTCTCCGCGAACGGTCGTAACAGTATATTTAACTTCTCCTATGAAACAATTAAAAGACGAAAAGAGATACGATAGAAGAAATTTCATTTCAAATTCAATAAACTATTCCTGCGCAACAATAAAAGAAGAAGAAAGAAACAGAATGTTGAAAATGACAACGTGAGTTCGTGCTCGTCATCCACATGCAGATGCGCTAGTTACAATAAATAGTAATTAGAAGATAGTTCTAGGTACAATCGATAAATTTAATCGATAGGTTTAAGGTGTTCTTTTGTTTTTTATCCCTAGTTCATGTAAGAAAGTGCAATGAAGGTTTTGCGGCTCAGAACGGTGTGATAGATTTAAATAAAATAATAAATAATAAAATAATAGATAGAATAAAATAATATTTATTCTACCTCTAAATACAGAAATAACAGCACAGAAAGAAATACGATAGAAGAATTTTCACACTCTATTTTACACTCTATATTTTCCTCCACGTCTATCACGCGACACGAATCAAATAAAGATAGAATGCTTGAACTGTCCATCTTTCACAAGCGTCTTTCTACCCCTTGACATTGTCCCCTGTCTCTCCTTTGCGGCCGCGTAACAGATTTTAATTGAAAAATACCCGTGTTCCTTTGACGCGATCTCCTACACCGAATATGGCCACGGAAGCGGTTCCCCAAGAAAATGCAAATATAATACATAATATTGCGGATATAATATTAGGTTGACCGAAAAGTTTCTTTCGTTTTAAGAGGAAATAATAGACGCACAACGTTTTTGTTTTATATTATTTTGTCGAATGACGTACGATCCACCCTTTGTTCTGTTGAGATAAACACCGCGATATTTCACAGACTTGGTTTCACGTTTGTGTGAAGGTGCACTGTGCGTAAAAAACCCGTTTGCAAAAGAAAGACATCTTTCGGACAACCTAATACATCCGCCACTCAGGATAAGGATAGGCAAGCAAGCAGATGCGCGAACCGAAGAAGGAGGGCAAAGAAAACAGGCTCGTAAACTTGCAACGGCGTTGCTTGGCCTAATTAGGAACCGTTGCATGCCTCAAAGCGACGATAGAAGGCGCACAAAGCCGCCTAGGATGCTCCCGGTAAAATGTCCCTAGGAGAAATTTCTTATTACGGCTGTGAAACAGGCCGAGCCGCCTCCCGATGCACGCTCGTTATCCAACACATCGTTCCCTTCCTATAAGTTCGAAAGCCAGAGAGTTGATTAAAATGGTGGCCAACTGGCGATATCGAGATATAGTTACTTTTTTTAGAAGATCCAAATGTAACAGAAGTGGAACTAGGGAGGTTTTTAGAGACTTTTGGAGTACATGGATATTTTAGAATATAGAATTTTATGTTAATTAAATGGCGAATTTGTGAATTATATACAGTGGCGATAAATACAGTGGTTTAATTTATTTGTTAAGTATGTTTATATGAAATAGATTTTTAGAAAAGAAGAGAAAGTGATTTTGGGAAGATGTGCTGTTTCCTAGGGATTTACTTATGTAGTTTGTGGTCAGTTGGTCGAAAAAGTATGGGAAGATTCGTTTAGTGTGTTAAAAAGGGGTGTTTAAGAGACACAAACAAAACAAAGAAACAAAGGTGTTTAAAAGATACTGTGTGGAGCAGTTGGAAAACAATACCAGACTTTTGTATGAAACGTGGACAATTCGTGTAGTATGTGTTTCTTCGATATTAACAATCAGGAGTTTGTTTTCAATGTTAATCACCTCAGCTTTGAGTAATAACACCAGAAGCCTGTCGAATGTAATAAAGTTGATCTCTGCTGAGAAACGATGGTAATTTAATTAGGTTTCATGCAACTAAGACATAGTTTTCTCGATGACACTGAAATTTGTTAACTTTGATTCAAAATGCAAGCAGAAAATACTTCTCTGTGGATTTATTATGAGCCTTTCGGTGTTAGGAAGATGTATTATAAGCAGCTATATTTTTACGTTCTCAGAACCTATACAAACCATGTCCAGTAAGAATCGTATTCTAAGATTCCAATAATGCTAGCATTGCAAATGGTAGGAAATGAAATGTCCAGTGAACTCAGCTGATTTCTTACCCATAATATCTTATGCACGATACAAATCATAGAATGTTCCAATATTAGGTTCGTGTACGATGTTTGCATGGAAGATATTAAAGCAGCGGTGCTCAACTATCGGCATCCTCAGCTATCTCACTTACATAATTCTTATATACATTTTTCACAATGTAATATTCTCGATTTTAGGACAAGCAACTTGACCAACGTTCCAACAATCAACAAAATATAGACAAAAAGAAAAAAGAAGGAAGGAATACTAAAGTAATTAAAATACTGATTCACAGTCTCAATATACCAAGTCTCTTCTGTTCTCAACACCAAGACATCAGTCTCCGGACGTATGTTTATTACGAGAAAGTAAACAGGATTGGAAACTAAATAAACTTTGAAAATTAAAATAATTGAAAAATCGATGTCTACAAGAACATACGCACAGCGTGTTGCTTTCAATGCAAAAGAAACGAGTCCTATTACGAGAAAGTATTGGCAACTTTTTTAACTTTTTTAACAAATACCTTTTTTTTTGTTACTTGTTTCCCTTTTCTACTATGAACAGAACATATGTACGTTATTGAAACGTAAGGATGTTTCTGTCTCGTTATTTATTATATTAGGTTAGCAACTAAGTGATTGCGGATTTTGTCATTAGGTGGTATCGATATATCCGCGGTCACTTAGTTGCCAACCCCATACCGCAATCACTTAGTTGCCAACCCAATAGAACAAGAACAAAGACTCCATGATACACATAGAAATTTCGAGAAACTTGATCGGTATTTCTAACAAAGACAAAAATAACTATAATAAAGAAATAATGTAAATAAAATAAAATAGACAAATCTATATTGTTGAAGTGGTTACCACTTCTAAGAAAACTCTACATCTGGTCTTTTTTAGTTTTCTCAAGCACTGAAGCCATCGACAGCGTGTAGACAAAAGACTGCGACGAAGTCAGGCCATAAACAGTAGACAGGCGACGTTGGCTTCGGGGTTTTTCAGTTATTAGGTAACACAGTTAGCGTGCGGATCTGGACCAGCTCAAATTGTATTTTTACTTATTCACGAGAAAGACCCTGCTTTTAAATTAATTCTTTTCCGATGCATGGGTCTTGGCGATGGAAGAAGGGTGTTGAAGTTTTAATCTCGCTGGTGGAATTTAACGAGCCATAAATGGGCAAGAGAAACTAAAATAATCAAAATATTTCTGAGAACTGATGCACAGCTTCTTGTCTTCAATGCGAAAGGAATGAACCCTCTGAACGTATCTTTATTGGAAGAAAGTAGACGAGAATGGAGACATTATCCAGAGCCGCCATAAACTCTGTAATATCCTCATCTTCTTACCAAGCGAGCCAGAGATTTCCGACTTTATCGCCAATATACATATATTCAGCTTGGCATTGGTAAATTAAAGCCGTAGCAATTTAAGAAGTTGGACGGCGCAGAAACGCCAGAGATTCAGAAGAACGATAAGCCGTTGCCGTGGTTGCAAAGGCGAATGCTCTAAGGAAAAGTAACTGAATTACCCGATACCAATTGAGACGGTAGCGGCTGCTCGACGAGGATAAATCACGCCGGTCGCTTTATCAGAAACCACTGAATCCCCGCAACTTCCACGGCCGCACAGTCTCGCGCTATTTTCTCAATCGGTTTATGCGCCGAGAATAGCGGCACCAGAATAAAGCATTCGCCGAACCTAGCTAACTAACGCGCAGTCGATTATTTTCAAGTTTCTCTTGAATTATTCTACGGACTGCCGCCTCAGCGGGTCATCGAGAAGCTATTCCGGTTCGTTCGATTACCGGTAGATGGAGAAGTAAATTTCGATCCTTCGTCCCTGGGTTCGTAGAAATTTAAAAGAATGGATAAATGGAGGGATGGTGAAAAATGGGCGAATTATTTTTATGCATTCTATTTGGTACAGTTAAATGAAACCGTGTCAAGTAGTAAAAGGAAGAAGAACGCTCGTAAATGATTGAACGAGTCTACAAAAACACTCAGATACAGTAAACTCGGGGTTTTAATTGATCTCTGGTCAGATAAACGATTGGTTTACGATATCGGTTAACGGTTGTTAATTGGAAACGCATATACAATACATTGTATTCAAAGGTATAGATACGTACTATATATATTTCTTTAGCTATTATAACACGAAGAGAAGTTCTGAAAACTCAGTCACGCCATTCTAAGCATGTATACTTATATCTGTAATGATTCTTATTTATGTATACGGGGTGTCTCAGTTAAATCAGATCACCTAAACATCGGCCTTGGGTATTGTTGCATATGGAGAGACTTCTCAAGACAAAGTTACACATAGTAGAAAGAATCTTTTCATTTCTTTAGCAAATTTCATGATCGTCGGTATTTTGTTGGAATAGAACCCTATTTATACTTGTACGCCAGTGGATGTGATTATTTATTCTCTATGTAAAAATTAAAAAAGTATTATAGTAATTATGTGGGCATATGTGTAGTTCAAAGGATATTTCGATTTTAACCTGATGAAATGTAGTGCATGAAAGACAAGGAAGACATAAGTTTCAGTCGCCAAGTTTTACAAAATTAAGGTTCAAATATCTTTTAAACTATTGTAGTATCGTGGACAAATGGTCTAAGGGGCCTGGCAGTTTTACCGTGTGGTCGTCACCTGAGGAGTCGAATGGAGCAGTTGTGAGTTGACAGTCGAGTTGAGTAGTGGGAGTTGAGAGTCGAGTGAAGTAGTTATGAGTGGAGAGTCGAGTGGAGTAGTTGTGAGTGGAGAGTCGAGTGGAGTAGTTGTGAGTGGAGAGTCGAGTGGAGTAGTTGTGAGTGGAGAGTCGAGTGGAGTAGTTGTGAGTGGAGAGTCGAGTGGAGTAGTTGTGAGTGGAGAGTCGAGTGGAGTAGTTGTGAGTGGAGAGTCGAGTGGAGTAGTTGTGAGTGGAGAGTCGAGTGGAGTAGTTGTGAGTGGAGAGTCGAGTGGAGTAGTTGTGAGTGGAGAGTCGAGTGGAGTAGTTGTGAGTGGAGAGTCGAGTGGAGTAGTTGTGAGTGGAGAGTCGAGTGGAGTAGTTGTGAGTGGAGAGTCGAGTGGAGTAGTTGTGAGTGGAGAGTCGAGTGGAGTAGTTGTGAGTGGAGAGTCGAGTGGAGTAGTTGTGAGTGGAGAGTCGAGTGGAGTAGTTGTGAGTGGAGAGTCGAGTGGAGTAGTTGTGAGTGGAGAGTCGAGTGGAGTAGTTGTGAGTGGAGAGTCGAGTGGAGTAGTTGTGAGTGGAGAGTCGAGTGGAGTAGTTGTGAGTGGAGAGTCGAGTGGAGTAGTTGTGAGTGGAGAGTCGAGTGGAGTAGTTGTGAGTGGAGAGTCGAGTGGAGTAGTTGTGAGTGGAGAGTCGAGTGGAGTAGTTGTGAGTGGAGAGTCGAGTGGAGTAGTTGTGAGTGGAGAGTCGAGTGGAGTAGTTGTGAGTGGAGAGTCGAGTGGAGTAGTTGTGAGTGGAGAGTCGAGTGGAGTAGTTGTGAGTGGAGAGTCGAGTGGAGTAGTTGTGAGTGGAGAGTCGAGTGGAGTAGTTGTGAGTGGAGAGTCGAGTGGAGTAGTTGTGAGTGGAGAGTCGAGTGGAGTAGTTGTGAGTGGAGAGTCGAGTGGAGTAGTTGTGAGTGGAGAGTCGAGTGGAGTAGTTGTGAGTGGAGAGTCGAGTGGAGTAGTTGTGAGTGGAGAGTCGAGTGGAGTAGTTGTGAGTGGAGAGTCGAGTGGAGTAGTTGTGAGTGGAGAGTCGAGTGGAGTAGTTGTGAGTGGAGAGTCGAGTGGAGTAGTTGTGAGTGGAGAGTCGAGTGGAGTAGTTGTGAGTGGAGAGTCGAGTGGAGTAGTTGTGAGTGGAGAGTCGAGTGGAGTAGTTGTGAGTGGAGAGTCGAGTGGAGTAGTTGTGAGTGGAGAGTCGAGTGGAGTAGTTGTGAGTGGAGAGTCGAGTGGAGTAGTTGTGAGTGGAGAGTCGAGTGGAGTAGTTGTGAGTGGAGAGTCGAGTGGAGTAGTTGTGAGTGGAGAGTCGAGTGGAGTAGTTGTGAGTGGAGAGTCGAGTGGAGTAGTTGTGAGTGGGGAGTCGAGTTGCGAGGAGTGAAGTTGTGAATTGACAGTCGAGTGATGAGGAGTCGAGTTATGAGGAGTGGAGAGTTGAGTTGCTGAGTTGTTATGAATTGTAAACTATTAGTTGTCTTAATTATAGCACATTACTGTATTTAGTTCACGTTAAATAACCATTGTTTTCTGTTTAATCCATTGAAAATAAATCTATAGATCAATAAATTTATCATATAGGATAGAAATCATTGGAAACCCTAATTTCTAATATTTCTAAATAAATAAAAAAATCCTATACTATGTAGTTTGAAACGCTACTTCGATGCTTTTGTACGGAGATTTAAAAAACACATCAATCGATGGACAAAAACATACATACGGTTCCATTTAAAAATATACCAATGATCTTGGAAACTCGTGAAAGAATTCTTCCCACTGTTACATATGTAACCTTGAGATAGTATAACTTTGCTTGGCCAAGTTTTTCATACAATCATAAATTTTTATTTAGTAGTATATACTGTATCTACAATAAATATACATAACAATATCATACTGTATAATGTACCAACAATAAATATAATAAGATCTATTCAGTGCTCATATAAGCATATGATAAAAAATGAATTTTTATAGAAGCTGTTGAGGTTGAGGTTGACTGATTGAAGAACCAGTGAATGAATTTGTAATAGAAAAGTATATTGAAATAATTAAAGGTGTAAGTAGAAGTAGAAGTATAATGTATAAGTTTATGTTGATTCAAATCCTTACTCTCTTAATGTTACTAGACAATGGAATGATAGAGAGCACGTTCAAATATTTATAGCAAAAGGACATTATCAAAAAAGTTAAGCTTATAGCTTGGGCCAGAGGCTACAGGAACATAAATAGAAATCTGTTTATTAGTTCCTTTGCTCCTAGACCTTGCAACCCAAAACATGATGTATACTCAAGGGTACAATAATATGCATCGCACCTTATTTAGAATATTTCTGCACAATAGCAGTCTCCAGGTCACAGATATTCATAAATAAAGATGTAGAGTTTTTCTCGAAGTAGTTACTTCAACAGAAGCTATATAGACTATGTATTTTTACACTGTTGTACTTATCGCGTCATTTATATATTAATTAATTAAGCCCAAGCGTGTTTATATCCTAAGGACTGCGCTAGATTGTGCCAAATGTGTATTGGATTGGCAACTAACTGACTGCGGATTTTCTCAATACCACTTAATGGCAAAATCCGCAATCACTTAGTTGCCAACCCAATATATACATTTTTATCTGATGCATTTAAAAATTCTATTAGACAAGTCAGAGACTTAAATTTTCTCATTAAACATCAAATGTAGAAACCGGGCAACTGCAAGGAACGATAGGAGCAATTTTATCGAGGAATCTTGAGTAAAAATTCCAGACTTTGAAATGGCGTTAAGATAAGGCATCGCTGTGCCTCGAAACTCTGCACATTAGCCGAACGATCCAGTTTAATGAAAACCGTGGACGGGCAGTTCGACATCTGGTAGATGCTAATCTCACGAAAAACGGAAATTGCCCGGTACCATTTTCCTAACCGTCCCACTTTATTCGAATTAAACTCCGGCTGGTATCCTCAGGCGCACCTTCCGTGTCTTCGAATAACCTCGTCGACTTTGAAATACCCTAAGAGCACAAACTCCATATCTACCATTCTCCATTTCTTTAGAAAATGAAATTTAATTAACAGTAAATGGTCTGGTAACAGTTATTTGATAAAAAAATAACTATACATTGAGGTTAGGAGTTAACAAAGAAGGATAAATCACTTTCACATACGTTTTACTGTTGATTTTTCTAAACGTAAACGAAGGCCACAGGCGAGGTGCGTGATAAATAACATTTGTTATCCATTTATAGAAAAATATTTGAAAATTCAATTTCCGATTAACCAATTCTATATCGCAACTATCCTTGCGCTTCAGTTTATTAGGTTGACAACTAAGTGATTGCGGAGTTTGCCATTAGGTGGTATTGACGAAATCTGCAATAACTTAGTTACCAGTAACCTAATAGAACTAAATAAATATTACTCTCTAAAACATTTATAAAGTATATACGATGTTAATTAACTTGAAGTAACACAATATTATTCGTTTCTCACAGAACATTATTATTGATCATCAAAACTGCTTGCATCGTCTTATCCTTTTTCCCCGAATGGACACCAAATGTAAAATTCACTTGGAAACAGAAATGAACGAATATATTAAAATATAGCAGATGAAAATAGAGAAATTACGATGAATTAAGAGGTTATAAGAGATTATGAATCCGAGTCAGACCAGGTAACTCGTGTTCTCTAATTAACAGATTAATTCGTCGTTGAAATTTGTGAAATTTCCGTTTAAAACGGGATTTTCGTATAAAAAGGAGGGGGTTAATGCAGATAGAGAACGATAGAGCAAGGAAGAAAAATGGATTTACAGCTGGGAATAGTCGCGCGACTGATAGGGCAAAGCGGGTTACGCTACTTTTTACGGGGATTTTCCATTCGCGGTCGTCGCGGTTGCGGATCAGCCCCGTTGGCAACGGGACGTATCGTCCGATTAACTTCCCCTGGGCCAATTGGATATTCCGATACGTCTGCGTATTTATGCGCGATTCACGAAAGTCGCACCACCGCGATATATTTCCTGGCCTCGAGCTTTCTCACGTGAAATCGTATTTCATGCTATTTACAACTATCTGTGTCATTGTGCACAATTGTGGCAATCGTGACATTTGTATTATGACAAGTATTTTCAATTAATTTCTAACTATTTTAAACAAAGTTCCAACATTTCCAATATATTCAAGCTGGAAATTTCGAGCGCATTATATCGTGTACCATGACCGTGTACCATGAATCGGATCTCGTTTAAACATAAACGATGATAATCGAGTAAAAATTTAACTGCACGTGAGAAAACAGTAAATTGTATATATACAGTGGCTCACGAAAATATTCAAATGCTTAGACTTACAAATTTCAATTATTATTCAATTACTATTAAATATTCAATATCAATATTAAATTTCAATTATTAATTAAAATAAGGTGTACTAAACTAATTTGTTAAAACAATTTTGTATCTTCACACAAAAGTATTCGAACGCTGTAACACTGTTGATAGTTTTTCATTTTCCTTTGCACCGAATGTAAACGTCATTGCCAAATGAAAATAATCGCACGTTCACTTGATGTTAGGATGTCGTTTCAGGAACAGTAACGTAAAAGTGTGCACAATAGTATTTAAAACGAATACCAAAAAGTGTGAGACTTACGGTCTACAGTGCTATATATTAGGTTGGCAACTAAGTGATTGCGGATTTTGTCAATGCCACCTAATGGCAAACTCCGCAATCACTTAGTTACCAACCCAATACAATCTGTACATTTATCATTCTTATTTTTGTAGACAAATAAAATACAACAATCTTTAGAAGTGAGGGAGTCGTTAGGAGAATTGCTGTTTGAGACAATCGTTAAAAAACCATTAAAACCAATGAGTAAGTAGCGATATATAATATTTGCATTTAATACTTTCGCGATGTACTATCATTTTATTAATACATTTGTTTTATTATTATTATTATTATTGTAATAACTGTACACCTATTGGGTTAATATATTATTAACGGCAATTCATGCTACACAATTTGTTTATTAATACATATTGTTGGTAGAATTTAACATAATCGTCAATACGTAAATACGGCGTGAAACTGTAAAATTGGGAAAATTGGTTGACCAACGTTCGTTCACGATCAAACGAAATTCCGTGAAGAGAATTCCTGAAGTGCCTGGTGGAAACTGTAATTGGGATAAAGAGTTCGGTACAGCGCGTCCGAAATCAATTGACCGTTCAACATCACTTCGCCTATTCCAAGAACGACTTATAGTTAAGACGAAGTGGGGGAAACTCCTTAACCTGCGAAGCTTAGTTTCGAACCACCGAATGATATGGTAGCATTTGTTCTTTTATGGCTTCGAACGGACAACTGATACTACATGTAACGCAACTAAAAAGATTTTAGTTGGTTGAAGCTACGTAAAGGGAATTTCACAACGAAGAATCGTGTCAACTGTGAATCGATTAAATCGAGGAAAGTTCAAGTATTTAAAAAGAAAGGAAAAATGAAAATAGAAATAAGGGGGCGGAGTTGCCAAAAAATTTCAAATGAAAAATTGGTGTGAAATTTTGCAAGGGGAAAGTTTGAAGTCGACCGATCCTTCAAAGTAAAAGGTGACGTTCGTTGCTTAAGAAAAGGAATTACTCCCGGAATATGAAACGTTTTGGCTGGGAACACGGTTTAGAATGGAACGATGCGGATTGTTGACAATCGAAGAAAAAAAAAGACAGGAAGAAGCAAGTAACTTTGACGCAAACAACTTTTTACTGAAATATCAAGGCGAAGAAGTAGTTCAAGATGAAAGCAAATGGAACACCGCGGCCCCGTGGTTTCATATGAAACTTCTCAAGCGTCCAACTTTCATCTGATCGATGCAAAAAAAAGAAAGAAGAAATATATCGTTTGAACGACCCGAATCATTAACTTGAAACGAGATCTCCTATCGTTTGTGTAAGTAGGAGCGCGTTTACGAGAATATTGCAAGCTAAGATAGTCGATCTGACGACTGCATGTTCTTCGAAAAGTACATTCGATGCCTACAAAAAACATTTGTACACCACTTTATTTATTGCGGTATTTTATATGCTAATTAATTAGCTCCAAACATATTACATTTACACGAAATGTAGGATTTGTTAACACATTGTTGGCCGTCAATTTTACTGAGAATTTATCTCACGTCATCGGCTATTATTTCCTAATTGAACGTGCAAGTAAAACAATATAAATAAACTTTAATAAATTCTATTTGTTATTCAACTTTTAATATTTCTTTTTCCTATGATAAACAGTGTAACAATCACCTACGTGTAATGGTACACAACAACTTTTGCAAACATATTTAGTTTCTGAGTTTTCCTTTTGAACAGCATACTCTACACGCTCTAGTCTGATTTGTTTTTCTGCCAGTGACTATTTTTTAGTAAAGGAATCAGTGAAGGATGCATCATTATAATAAGGAGCTGTTTTAGAAATTCGAGAAATGTCAGGTGCAATGCTGCATTCTTTGGAATCCACAGTTTTCCATTTTCTAACTACTTCTCCAGTAGAAATTTGTTGTATCTTGTTTTATTTTCTGGCAGATAGATACAGTACATTTTACATGCATCGAACAAGGTGCAGTTTATCAGAAAAAATGCTAATTTTCTGGACCACTTTAAAGTTTTTCGTAAAATACTGCAGGTCTAAAGTGTTTAGTAAAATACTGATACTACAGTATCATTTTCCAAGTCACCACAATTTGATTCACAATCACTCGGACAATCAGATAAAACATCCGCGTATAATTCATTGAAATATTCTTCATTGGTATGTCCCGTCATCGTTGACATTTTTTTACAACAAAGAACGCAACTTGACTTGACAAGCGAGAGACACAGTTTGAGGTATGCTGACCAACAATTGCACCGTATCATCTCCAACAGCGCGCTGAGAAAACGACGCCGATGCGAAAAAGAAACGCATTACGAGTTTACTCGTGGCAGGTCGGTAACGTTTGGCCATGAAAACACGAATTAACTCGTGACCAGTCAACAATGTGTTAAAAAAGAAATCTTACACTGTAAAATCAGAGTATTCTTCGACATAAAGATATTCCACTTTTCCAACGAAACAACTGGTTTATAGAAGCAAAATATTCCATAGAACAGAATAGAATGGTTTAACGATCTGAGGTGATACTGGGTGTAGTGCGTTAAATAATCACTCGGTGTTTAGGTCAACAATATATATTTATTAACAACTGTCTTCGTTAGATCGCGTCGCGTATCGCTCCCGGTTTCGCCGCCCGGTTACAACTCGACTTTATCGCTTTCTAGTTCGAACCTAACTGTCGATCGGATTCAATTCTTTTCTTTCCGTCGTCCCTCAATATCCCCACTATTCACGCGTTTGTTAGGCGTTCGCGACCGTTGCCATGCACGCTTCCTTCTCGAACATTCGGCGGAAGGACCGTTGGGATATTGATGACTCATTAGGCACTTCGCTTCGGCGATACACATTGTTGCCGAGTACCGCCACAGATCATTAAATTGCCAAATTTTCGATTGTCATTTCTGCCAGACCAAAAATACGTGGAATTTCGATGGAAATTGAGGCGAAGTGCAAGCGAAAGCTCTGGGTCGACAGAAATTCCCACGTTTTTGTCTCGAAAGCGTGATCAGCAAGGCATAGAGGTCTGCACACATAGGTTGAATCAAGGGAACATGAAAAAGCTCGCTCCTCTTAAGGGGCAATCCGGTTCGAATGCCGGTTGCCGATTGACAAAGGCAGTTTCCGCGGGAAACGCTGAACTCGGCGAAATTCCGACGTTGGGTCAAAACCACCTGCAAACATGCAAACGTTGCCTACGAACGTTGCCTTTTTTCTTCCCTTTTTTCAAATCCTCCATGCAATCCTCGCATTTTCTCTGCCCTGAAGAAACTACTTCATTAGCGCTCTCCACAACGTCCTTGAATTGACACCTGAATACTGTGAAACCAGTGTTGGTCAACATAACCATAATTAGAATAAGTAGAACTGCGCTTATGCAAACTTATGTCACCGCAATGTCCGATTTACCAGATACGTTTTTCAATTCGTATTACTCGACTTCAGGTCACGTGACGGTCACGCTTATGCGGATAGAAGTCTTTGTCTTAGTATTTACGAACTTCAGCTCAGCGAAATCCAGTTATATGAGAATTAACTCGAATTATACGAATGATAAATACGAATGATAAGCGAAAGAAGGAAGAATTGGCGAGCTCGTATTATCCGACTGATTCAGTTGTCCAACGTTTCTTATTTCGCAACTGCGTCGGATAGGTGCAGCTTCGCGCTAATAACAACAATAACAATAATCGTATTCTCTTGGGTAGTATATTTTATTTTATTAAAGATATTTCTATTATTAACAAAGGATCGTCAGCGAGCTGTTCTGACGGTGTTTTTCGAAGAAGAGCAATTTCCTCGAAACAGAGTATTTATTTTTTGCTGAGAAAAATCAGAAGTTTTATGAACATGGAATTATGACACCGCCTGAAAGATAGCAAAAGGTGATGGACGAAAACGGATAATACTATTGAAAATTGTGGATCTTTGAGGCCGAAATAATGTTATAGGAACACTAAATTTATACTGAGGATTAATATTAAAACAATGATATATTTATTTCATGAACAAAACGACACACACATGCACGCGTCTCAGCACTTTCTTCTATACCCGACTGTAAACCGTCTCTTCGACGACTCTTAACCGACTGAAGAGTTCACATTCATTTGTTTTCGAGACGCTTCGGACACACATACTTCCACATACTGATATTCACATACAAGTATCTCTATTACGCCTTTAACCTAGTCCAGCACAGAAAATTATACATATCTCAACAAATACCTAATTGAATAAAGTTATATTTTTAAGCAAAAATTTTGAATCTTCCTTGTTATTTAAAATACGCAATCACTTAGTTGCCAAGCTAATAATTACAATTTGCAAACAAATAACATTACACAATATAAATAATATGATATGATATAATATAATTGTATATAATTTATGTTTTTTTATATTTTATAAATTATTTAATTACACATTATATACATTATAAATTATATAATTAAATAGCTTTAATAATGGTATTGCGTGTGGTATTTTTCGAAACATGGTGTTACACATAGGCCAACATCGGAAATCTGGCGCTGGTATCGCGATTCGTTCCACAGTTCCCATCAGTCGATTATAATCGACAACATACTTCGGTTTTTTAATCATTTTTCACGTGCGATAATGACGTTTTGTGTGAACAAATTGTTCATTGTGGGAAAGGCATTACGTTTGCAATATAATGCATTATTAATTATGTTAAATTGTATTTTAGATTTTTATTTCATATGAATAACAAGGCGAGGTGTATATTTATATTTAATTATATTTATATAAATAAATAGCTCTGTTGAGTAGGTTAAATTAAAAAAAAAATATGAATATTATATGAGCAATAATGTTGTAGATAATGTAATTTTGTCATATAAAAATAAACCAAAATTAAAAAATTTAAAGTTCATAAATAAATTTTTATATACATATATATAAATGAAATTATTTATAAGTAGAATATATTTGTGTTATATTGTATTTATTAGAGGTTTGTATTTTATAATACAATAGTATTTACTTTTAAAGGTTTTGAACAGATTTATTTATATTGTATATATATAGGTAAAAATATGTATTTAATAATAATGCATTACTAATTATATTAAATTGTATTTGAAATTCTTAAACGTTCTGCGAACGTGGCGAGCGAATTTTGATTTTCGTCCCCTGTCCTCGTTCAAATGCCGCGCTATGCGACGTTGCTATTTTTCCGGATCGCGCATCGCGTTGGTCGAAGTCACCTCCCAGTGGAGAACGAAGGGATCGCAGGTCCAGACCCCCGGTAAATTGGCAGCTACCTACGTATCTCCATATATTATGTGTACACTTCAAAAATTGAACCGCGCTATTGACTGTGCGGACCGTGTGAAGCCGCTTCCGCCTCCGGGAACACAGGATCGAACCGAAATGGACCGGAAAAAAGAGAGGAAAAATACGTCGTTGGAAATTTCCCTCCTGGCTAGACTGCGAGATATTGTGACATTTTTTATGACATACACGTACACTCTGACATTTTGACATTTTCACGTTGACGATCCGTGGGTTGGCAACTAAGTGATTGCGGATTTTGTCAATACCACCTAATGACAAAACCCGCAATCACTTAGTTGGCAACACAATAAATAGCGTCAATTATGGTAATACAGTTGAAGATGTTTTTTGAGGGAAGAGCGCGTCGGTAAGGAAGAAAAGTCGTTTGACGAAAAATATAGCCGAACAAATAATATTGCATTTGTGATTAAGTAGCGGAAGGCCGTTTATCTCACTTTTTCAGGCTGCTTACGTGGTGATACATTTATCTCTGGTAGTTACAACATGTTACGTGTTTTTATTAGAAGACTGAGAGATTGATAGAAGTAATTATCGTGGAGGAAGTCTAAGATTGCTGTCATAGTTCATCGCTGAAATTCATTTCGACTGAATGTCATAACAACGCATTCGTCTATGACTAACGTGGCACACTACTAAACCACGGATATCACCAATGATAAACATTTATAACCATCAAGGTGTATAGCGTACTATTTGTTATTTTCGCGAAAAACGTAAATAAGCTGTGACATACGTTTACACAGTTCCACTATAAAGTTTCAATATACCGCGGCTCGCGAAAATATTTCACTATTTATGCAAGCTCTGCGTTGCATGAAACATTTAGAAAAATTTCATCGTTGCTATAACGATACAGCACTGTCACGATTATATTGGTGAAGCTTGAAACGAATTTGAGAAGTGGAGTTGATTGATTTATTAGATTAGAAATTAAGTGATTGCGGATTTTGTCAATAGGTGGTGTTGACAAAATCCGCAATCGCTTAGTTGCCAACTCAACAGCTTCTGAGAGGCTCGTATCTCCTTCTCTTCGCAACGATTAATTATTTTTTATATCCAAAGTATCGAAAGCTTCTTGATTTACAAGCATCTGATCTGACTGAAACAATGAGCGCTCGAAACAATCAACATCCGTTACCAGCCGTTTCATATGGCGCGTTATTCCATTGCTACGTCAGTAGGAAGTTAATGCAGCGAATATGGCAGCCGTCGATATTCGACCAGCATACATGCGGTTAATTATCATCAAGATCGCGCCAGTTACCAAAATCGTTCCGTGTGCTTGCATTACACGCAGTCCCTTTTATTCGGACTGCGTAAAAATTGAAAGAAACTAGGAACGAGGAAGGTCGTTTACACGATGAAACAATTTTCACCGGCCACGTTCCATTTACCGTGCCTTTGCACAGAATATTTCTGTGAAACATGGTCCTCAGATAAGTGGAACGAGTCGTACCTCTTTTCTGATTTGCAATTAGAAGAAGAAAGATAGTATTAGAGGAACAAGATTAGATGTGTTTCTTTTTTACGTTTCGACGATGCTTGTACATTTTATATTTTTTTAATTCATGGATTTGGAATTGCACGATCCAATTTTTGTTAGTTCTAGTAGTTAGTTCTAGTCTAGTAGTAGACCATATTGTTGAGAGGTTATTATTGAGATATGTGTAATTTTGTGTGCTACACTAAGTTAACGTAGTAGTGACACACATATATGAGTATGAGCGTGTGCAGTATGTGCGTGCACAGCGCCTCGTAAAAGAAATGAATACAACGGTTCCGTTGGTAGTGTGGTATAGAAGATGGCGAGATAAATAGAGTGCTGAGACGCGTGCAAATGTGTATCCACGAATATCTTGTAAATCACATATTAAATAAATCTGAAACTATTT